TATATTATCCATTTTATTATTGGCTAATTTTATTAAAAATTACGCAAAGTCATTTATACGTTTCATTTCATGTTTATAAATCTGTTTAATTTTTTAATCAATTTTGTAAGAAAACAAAAAAGGAAGATGCACATGTGAAACAAAGTCGTACAAAATTATTCTTATCATTACACACCCAGTTAAGTGTTGAACAAAATATCCAACAAATTGTCTTCTTGAGATACTTCCAATAAAAAAAAAAGTCTACATTAAACTAAATAAATTGGATAATTTTTATTTGAAAACAATTATTTCTACCACTTGTAGTATAACGAATATATTGGATTCAATAAATAAAGCAAAACCGGGCACATATACGCTGGCTGACACGTGTACTGTAGCATTTGGAAATTCTCAACGCGAAGCGAATAAAGTACCCTGTTTTCTTGTGAGTGTGTGTGACTTTTTTTTAATAAGAGAAATAAAATAAGATTTATCTGAATAATTATCAACGAAAAAAAAGAAATCTTATCTCTGATATATTGTAAAATCGTAACAGAAAAGATATTATTTAAAATATTTTGGTTAGATAAGTTATGAACGGATATTTAGAGAGGTTATTAGAGAAAATAATAAAGTATTATTAGGAGAGCGGCTGAGCGAGTCAATAAACAGAACATAAGAACGCGTGGAGAAGAGTAGGGAGTGGGAGACTGAGTAAAAGCATAGTATGGGTGAAGGCTTTATGTTATAAATAAAAATAGGGAAGAAAATAAGAATAGCATAGAGAAAGGGGAATCTCAATCAATCAGGTAACGGGAACTTTTTTATCAGTTCCGTTGGAGAGCAAGCTTAGCTGTGTGGAGACGACAACTACCACCCATTTCCAAAGTTACAGAGAGGACATTACCTCCTTGTTTCTTCCGTCCTCGACTCTCTTTCTCCCTATACCCAAACTATAAACCTCGGATTTTCCTTCCTCTGTCTTTTGCTCCCTTCGCACGCGCTTTTTTCCTTATACGCTAAGATTTCACACGCCGATCTGCTTTTCTTTTCTTTCATTCTTTCATTCCTTCGACGCCGAAATGTGGTGGATGATGGGCGAGGCTGGAGGGAACTACTCTTCTAAGAAGACCGATGATCTGTGCAGCAATGTTTGTGGCCAGGTGTGTTGTGGAAAATTATTATTTTTTTTATTTTTTTTTTAAATTAAATGTTGCCTTTTCCGTTTGCGGTGTGGATAAAAGTTTTTCTTACTTGTCGCCTATTGGGTAACTCAAATTCAATGGGTTTTCAATGATGATGTGGATTGCTGTGTAATCTATATCGGTGGATTGACTCAGAAATTTTCTCCTAGATTTGCTCTTTTTCTGTTGTTTTTTTTTATTTTTCTTAAAAGGAATTTGGTGTGCGTGAGAGATTTTTTCGTGATCTGAACTTAGGTATCCGATAAAGCTGCGTTTCGGATGTTTTAGCGGTTGTTTTTTTTTTTCTAATTTTAGCAAACCTTCGAAACTATTTTTTGGGATTGTAAGTGAACGCCAGGGAAGACACCCTTTCCCTCTTCTTTTTTCTTCTTATTTTTGGAAGATTTTTCGGTTTGGAGGGAAAGGGTTTTCGTTTCTGTTGTAGCATAATTGGGTTTGGACGGGTGCAAGGTTTCTCGCACGAACCGCTTGCATTTGGGATTTTCCGGGGCATGATTCGTATCGCTACATGATTAAGCTCTGGTTGTGATTGCAATCGGTGATTAGAGTTGTATGATGCTTGAAATTTTGCACCAATAGAGAGCAGCATTGGGATTTTTATAAGATTGTATGATTTTGCATCACATGCTTATTTCATGATTTTTATTCTTCAAGGTGTTTTTTCTTATATGTTTTGTTCCTTAATTATGCAGGAATCAAGTCAAGTTTCAAGCATGTCAAGGATTCGTTGCATTCTGCGTGGTTTGGATGTTAAAACCTATATCTTCATGTTTGCCGTTGTCCCAATGTGCATCTTTGGATTCTATATACATGGGCAAAAGATCTCTTACTTTCTGAGGCCCCTATGGGAAAAAGCACCAAAGCCTTTCAATGTCATCCCTCATTACTATAACGAAAATGTCACCATGGAGAATCTCTGCAGACTTCATGGCTGGGGAGTCCGGGAATATCCTAGACGTGTTTATGATGCTGTGTTGTTTAGTAATGAGTTGGAAATACTAACCTTGCGATGGAGAGAACTGTACCCTTACATAACTGATTTTGTTCTCCTTGAATCAAATTCTACGTTTACCGGATTGCCCAAACCTCTGGTTTTCCAAAGCAATAGGGAGCAGTTCAAATTTATCGAGCCACGATTAACTTATGGTACTATTGGTGGGAGATTTAAGAAGGGAGAAAACCCATTTGTTGAGGAGGCATATCAGCGTGTAGCATTGGACCAGCTCCTCAAGATAGCTGGTATTAGTGATGATGACTTGTTGATTATGTCTGATGTGGATGAGATACCAAGCGCTCACACTATTAATCTCCTGAGGTGGTGTGATGAAGTACCCTCAATCCTTCATCTGCAGCTGAAAAACTATCTCTATTCATTTGAATTTCGCGTTGATGATAAGAGTTGGAGGGCTTCAATTCACAGGTATCAGACTGGGAAGACAAGGTATGCACATTATCGCCAATCTGATGACATGCTGGCCGATGCTGGCTGGCATTGTAGCTTTTGCTTCCGTCGGATCAGTGATTTCATTTTTAAGATGAAAGCCTACAGCCACTATGATAGAGTCAGATTCTCTCACTATTTAAATCCTGATAGAATTCAGAAGGTAATATGCAAAGGTGCTGATTTGTTTGATATGCTGCCGGAGGAGTACACTTTCAAGGATATCATTGGCAAAATGGGACCAATACCACATTCCTATTCTGCAGTTCATCTTCCTGCTTTTCTTCTGGAAAATGCTGAGAAGTATAAATTCCTTTTGCCAGGAAATTGCAAAAGAGAAAGATGATTTTGGAAAGTCATTTCTGATACTGGCTTGTTCTGAGCTTGTAGCTTGTACAGCTCAAGTGACTCTCCTCTGGGTTTTTAACTGTGGTTGTGATAATTGTGTGTCAGTTTCACTCATACAGCTCTATCTTTGTCCAGTGAGATATTCTTTGGGAATTCATTCATTTCGGATAAATTCTTTGATCTAGAGGGAATTCTGTATATAGTTACCTGGACTTCATTCGAGGGGAGCAGCAGCATTTCTACCTTTGAGCGACTGTTTGAGAAGAGGCTTGTCTTCATGAACCGTGTTTATCATTAATGTGATTGATCCCCAATACACGAGATTAGTCTAAAATCCCCCACTTTTTCCTGTATGGGAAGTTTTGTTTTGCAGACCAATTATTTTCGTATTATTCTTTGTTTATGCTAATTATCTAATCCGATTGGTTGGTCTACTATATCATCACAATACTGACTCAGTTCTTTGCATTATATAAATATAGTCTGCTGTATTCCATTAATTTCTTTTTCTTCATTATAATGGTATTCTCAAAGTAGAGGTATCTCACTCATTTTATATTATGTATTTTCTTAGCACATGCACGTCTTATCCTTCTGAACTTTTCTCTTTTAACCATTTCACAGTAAGACATGTGTGTTCATAATCAACCACTTCTATATTTTTCTAATACATTAATTTTAACCATTTCAGAATAAGGGTTTATGTGTTTACTATCATCAATAAAGTTCTCTTGTTGAAATTGAACATCAAAACGGGCTATTGTTCAGCCTTTATAACAGGATTGGTAAGGGTGATAAGAGAGTGAATTTGAAGAATCATCTGTAGATTTCATTGTTCTATATTTAATCTATAATTTAAGAGATAGCTGCGAAGTTTCTCCTTGATATAATTTTCTATGATTCATTGTATCTACCAATTTCATGTGGGGGAGATTTGGTCGGTGTTCATGAATGTATGTAGCCCAACGTAGTTTATTATCTTTTCTTTTTCTACTGTTACAAATTTAATTTGTATCATTTTGGGTATTTTTGGTTCATGAGAAGTGAACGTTAGGAGAGTTTTTATTTATTTTACTTTTGAACATTACTTTTAATTTCTTTGATTAACAAATTAAAATGGAAGAAGAGAGGGATAAAATTTATAATAGAAATTTATGCTTAGAAATTTTGATCATATTTTCATTATGATATAACTTATATGTCTTAGAGTATTTAATCATATAAAAAAAATATTCTGTAATATATTTATACTACAAAAGAGACTAAATTTAAGGAGATAATTAGGCTGTCAACTCAAGATGAAGGGCTCATTATTGTTTTAATTCCTCGCAATTTGACAGCGCATGTCACGTTGCAACTCCTTTATTAAATATCAATAAGTTTAGTGTTCTTAGTTTATAAACTAAATATACTATGGCACAATATTTATTTTTCAATAGTTAAATCTATAATAAATATATCTTAAATATAAACATTATAGTTTACATTTATAACGAATAACTTAAATCATGATATAAGATTTTCTACTTATTAACATTTAAAAAAAAATGTGGTAAGAAAAGATGTTAGATTACGCAATTAAGAAAATCTTTCCCCATATAGATCAAGAAAAGACACATTGAAGACATTGTCTTAAACTTTCCTTCTTTCACAATACTAGTTTTGAGAGTTTTTCTTTCACGATAACATTTTGAAGTATTTTTCTTTAACTTTTGTATCTTTTAATATTTTTAGTTCTGAAATAATGAAAATCAACATTGTATTATAATATAATAATTTATGATAAATATAAAATATAATTTATATGTTAAAAAATTAGTCCTTATTATAATAGATTTTAATTATAATATTATTACTCTATTTAGAAGTATTTATTTATTATAAATTTTAATTAATATAAAATAAATATTCGTTTTGACCAACATAAAGGCTAAGATACTAGTTAAAGTATATCCACATTTAAAGGGCAGAAACACTGAATTTTAAGAATGACTAATTTAGAGAATAGGAAGAGTGAAAGCTAATAATATTATTTTTATATGTTTATGATTAGATGATTTGTTGTAAAAATGGATAATAATATTATGTTTTAGGTATTGGTTTTTATATAATGTTTTTNATATATATATATATATATATATATATATATATACACATGTCATATATACCTATTTATATATATCTACAGGGCCTTCATGTGATTTGATATATGGTTAATTTGGTGACCCTTAAAATGGTTAAAAGATTTTGGGGTGATATCAAATTCACTATCCATATCTACAACTGAAGTACTTAGGGACCTTGTTCTTTCTTTCTGTCTTTTGCTTCCTAAATAAATGCACCAAGGTCTTTAACTTTTCTTGGACTGTTTAACTTTTTTAACTGCAAAAACAGAGTTTATTGCAGATTACAAGATATGCTCAGCTCCTGCAGAATTAATACAAACTTCTTGGAGCTATAATGGGTTTGTTGGCTACAGATTTTCTCCAATTGCAGTCTGTTACATGTGTAGAATAATGCAAATGGCAAGCAATGATATACGTTACAGAAAATTTGTGTTCTGAGTATATTCCTGGAATTATAGGTTCTTCTGCATAATGAGGATGTATTTGAAACTTTCAGTTCAGTCATGTATATATGCGCAGCGCATAGAATTAATCAGTTTATCGAGTTTGGTATGTTTCAACCGAATATGTATATGTCCCTTTTGCAGTTCTGTCAGAAAAATCTGATCACATGTTTGGTCTTAATGTTTTCTCTTATCTGAGTTAATTTTTTCATTGATTCGACTACTATTATCATGTTCCAGTTGTTTGTTTATTTTATAGAACATACTGGTAGCAGAAAAATTAAGAAATTCTCATGTGGTTTGTTGTCCAGCTTAAAATTGATCGAATAGATTCTCTGATGTGTTTTTCATGCAGTCCTTCTGCTATACGTATAAGAATCCAAATTCCTGTACTTTTGCACAATGAATAGTTCATGGTGTAAAAATGATTTATTCTATTATTTCAATTGAATCCTTCACTTATCTTAATTTTGTACTGTTTATGGAATAAACTTATACAAAGATATTTGCTTACAAATTAAACAATAAAATATGAAAATAATGATATCGAAAACAAAGACAAGCTAATTATGAACGAGCAAATTAGAAAAATCAATTCCCTTGTTCTTGTAATATCCCTTTTCTGCGTTAGTCAATCTGCCCTGGAACATTCTCCACTCCATGCCACACCTCTCCTTCACCTGCCACCAATACCAAATGGAATCAACCACACATTTCAGAACCAAACTCCATTAAAAACAAAACACAATGTTATAAAACTGCTTCTTCATCAACTTGGGAATGAACCAGAACCAGAACCAAAACCAGTACACATTATATGCAGAGAAATCTTAATAGCATATTCTTTCAAGACATTGTTTATAATTACTAGCAGAAATTTGTAGATTTTGATATATTTTAACTAACAATTAAGTATGTTAATCATTGAAAAGTGCATAACATACTGCTCGCCATGCAGGTTTCCCAGAAGTTTGTGCTTCTCCCTAACAATCACTAAGGAAAACAAACAAGTATTATTATACAAAGCTACATTTGAGTGAATAATCAACATATGATAGGAATAATCATGGAAAAATAATTACCTGATTTCCTAGAGAGGGAATACCTTGGTGAACAATCCACTGAGCATCAACAACTCCAATTTTCTCATGGGCAGGCTATACCATAGGAACAAAGTATCAGTTTACATTTCATATGGCGTATCAGTTTCATGCAGAGTGAAGTAATCAGGTAAGAGACTCACCTCAACACATTTTCTAAAAGAAAAATCAAGACCCCATCCATGCACAAATTCATTCTGCAATCAGTAGTGTGTTACAGTCACAACTTAATGGAAATCATCAACAGTTGAGAGATTCTAGTTTGGACAGTTGGCTATAGAAATTAAGACACAACAAATCAATGTTATGTTGGTGTTTTTTTGTTGGAATGAAGTGGTCTTGATAGATATACAATAGTTATTCTCAGTAACTTGTACACAGAGATGTCTGAAAAATAAAATAGAGTAATCATTGAACCTGAATCATATACCACACACAGCGCCATGCATTTCGTGAAAACACTGGAGCCATAATCTCAACAAACCTGCATGTTGACACTATTAATACAACATTGTGGAAGCAGATAAAAATGGCACAAGAATTTGTACACCCAAAAAAATCAATAATTATTTGAGAGTTACTTACGCTGCACAAGGAGGTAGAAGAGGGTACTTACACCTTCCTGCTTCCACTGCTTCTCTAGTACAAATCAAAGAAATAAACAGTCAAGAATCTCACATTATTTACCACAAAGCATAAAGAAGAGGTTCACATCACTCTTACTTGTGAACTTCACTATTTTCTCTTTTCTTTGTCATATTCCAACACACCCCTTTTGTACTTTTACTAGGTTCCAATGCAGGCTGTGATATCTCCAAGCCATACTTCCTCACCAGTTTTAGGTATCTGCAATTGAAATTAAAGAGGCACCAACACGTCCTTAACAATGCCAATCCAAGAAAATACGGAATTACATGCCATATATATTGTAGACAACAAACCTCTATTGTGAAAAAACTTGATTCACATATTATTGTTTTTACACAACGAACAACACAATTTATAGACTCACATTTCCTGACCGTATATTCAAAATAGACAAAAACGGCTATAAACGACTAACCTATTAACTACTCATTAGTCCTAATGACTAATACATTAACTACTTATAAGACTCCAACAGCTAATTAATTTACTACTGCCCATTTAAGTTTATTTCATTTAAGTTTATCCTTACATAACTCCTCTTCTAAACTTAAATGCTTTTTTTATTTTTCATCTTGATTCTTCTATTCTTCACCCTGACTTCTCACATGTAGTAACTCTTCTCATACCATGCTTGTTCCTATCATGACTGTCTTCACTTTCTTGATGGCTGACTTTGCTTTTATTGTAGGCCGACTTGTTCTCTGCTCTTTCAATAGCCAAATTGTTCTTAAGTGAGTTCTTGTTACTAGGCCGAGATCCTTTTGAGAGATCGGACCATGCCTACGTATTGTTGCGTACAATCGCATCTATCTCTTCATCCATTTCAAGTCACCACTTCTCATCTTGGATTTCCATTGCAACTCTGGTCCTTCTCAGCTTGCAACTCTTTTGCAATATTGAAACATTTTGTTTAAGTTCCAAGTGTAGCTTATGCAAAACATATTTTCTTCTCTCTAAGCTTGCTTGTAGAATTGAATTGCCTCTAACCACCTTTTCAATTCTTTGTTGCAAATCACCTTTTTCAAGTTCCAACTTTTGAATAACAAGCTCGTCTTTGCACATGTCTGAGCTATCTGAGTTGTACGAGTGTACCACTAAGCTTTCCAGATGTCTCACCGAGCTA